GCCACCAAGTGGAGATACGTGAGGAGGGAAAAAGGACACACTGTCCACTGGGAAGCTAAGTCTAACAGCAGAACAAAAACCTAGGATGAGGGATGAAGAGAAATTGATTTCCACTGGGTTGGCTTGAGTTTACCTAGGAGCCCAAGAATTCAAATGTTTTCAGTGACACCTGCAAAAATATTTTTCCCTTAGAAACATACTTTTAAAAGACTTTCACTGAAGAAAGCATTATTCAGTACAGTAGATAGAGGGTGACTTTCAGAAAAGGCTATCTCAGAACCCTTTCCCCAAAATGTTAAAGACAGAAGCTGCTTGTGTCTCCAACTCAATAGGTTTCAGAGACAGGAGGCAAAAACACTTAATTTGTCATTCCCAAGCCTCTTTGCCTATGARCACAAGCCTCTCCCATACTGCAAAAAGACTCTGTATGAGTCCTTCTAGAAAAGTCTGACTATTGCTTGTGAAGATATATGAAAAACAAATACAAGCTAAATATGCAGGACTTTCTTCCTGCCTGTCATTAAAAAAATATCTAGTGAAAAAAAGGTTAAGACAGATTAGACCTAATTAAAACACCCTGGCAGGAGTCCCTAATCATTATCATTGATCATGTTAATCCTTAACAATAACTCAAGCTCTCACCTAAGGAAAAAGTGCTGAAAGACAGGAAGTATCTCTCTCAGCTGGGACTCTTACCCCTTTTACACTAAATGAATCTTCGACTATGGGTAGTACACTGTTATCCACAATTTCAGTTATCACTATCAACTGAGACTTGAAAACATTAAATGGAAAATTCCAGAAATAAATAATGCATGAAGTCTTAAAAATCTTTTACAGTATATTGTTATAATTGTCCTATTTTATTATTGTTGTTGGTCGTCTCTTACTGTGTCTAATTTATAAATGAAACTTTAACATAGACATGTACTCATAGGAAAAAAAAATAAAAGAGTTTGCGTAACTTTGGGGCCTATCCATGGTTTCAGGTATCCACTGGGGGTCTTGATATGTATTCCCCAAGGACAAATGGGGACTGCTGTCATTTGAGGTTGAAAGAAAACACCACAGATTCACTAGTTCACAGCAGCAACCTGTATTTATAAAACATATTTCAGGCCTATGGCACTGTCTACCCTAAAAGAAGAAGAATGTTCAGGTCTGCATTCTTCTATAGGCAATAGTGATGGTCAGAAAACAGACAACTGATAGTCTGTTCCAGAAAAGCATAGCCCTGGAAAAGAGGAACTGGGGACTGTGCTTTTTAGGACACAGTAGATATGAACACTTTATAGTTGGGCATCGAAACTTGACTTTGACCATCATAAAGAAGGAACATGTCTTTTTATGTTTTGAATGCACTATAGATCATTCCTTTGCATTACAGACTCCAAACATCAAATAAGAGTTTTAGTGGCAGATTCTGTTAAAAATGAGAGTTCTGGCCTGGGGTTGTGTAGCTTAGTGGCAGAGCGCTTGCCTTGTACATGTGAGGCACTGGGTTCAATCCTCAGCACCACATAAAAATAAATAAACAAAATAAAGATATTGTGTTTATCTATAACTAAAAATTAAAAAAAAAGACATTTTGAAATTAAAAAAGAGAGAGAGAGTTCTGAGACAAGGAAGTACAACAGAGTTTAGAAATTAAAGCAGCTTTCTCTCTCCCACTGGACCCCAACTCATGTCACTGTAATCACTGGACTGTGCAAACATTAAAAATGAAAATCATCTTTCTCTCTGAGTCTATTTTACAATCTCTAGAACAGGCTTGGCTTGGTGTGAGTCCATATGCAGTCACACCATGGGGCCAGGTTTTGCTATGATGTTCTAAATTTTTGAGAATTCAGTCTACTGATTTGGTAATATCCAGGGAGGAAGGGGAAACATCTGAAGTTATTTTTACTTTTGCAGGTCTTCTGGCTATACAGGGTGAATAGCAGGGTGGATCAAGTATTGTCTGGAGCCCTTCAGAATCTTTTTTTTTTTTCTTTTTTTTTTTGCATGGCCTCATTTCCGTCTTCCTGTTGCTAGGAAGGAGAGTTAAGCTTGAGAAACTCGTGTTTACAATACTGGACCATCCTGTCCAGAACAAGGCTCTCTTCACAAAAGTCTGATTCACTCCACTCACTGTACTTTAGATGCCCCCATTCTTCTGGACCAAATCACCCTTCCCTGAATATTTTCAAATTGCATATTTACCCGCCCTAAGTCATAAAAATACCACTCTCATTTGAACATTGCATCATGGCTTAAAATCTCCATGGGGATACCCAGGGAAACCAAGTACGTAATTTTGTATTTGAAACCACCTCTTGGAATCTCACCAAACCTCTGATTGGAAGGCATCTCATTGGGGCTTACTATATCCCCTCTGATCCCCACACTAGATCTATGAATTAGAATTTAAGTACTATGTACAGTTCACAACTCACATCACAGAAATAGTTATACACCATTAATCTGGTGTATCTTCCAGAAGAACCCAAATAYTTCTTGCAATGTAAAAATGTTCTTCAACTTTGTTTGGTCTTTGTTATTTGAACTATAATACTGAACAACAAAGAAAGGCTTTAGGGTTTAAGGACAAATTGCCTTTCACATTTGCTCCGGAAGATCTTTTGATTGGTCCAGTATATTAAAATTTGAAACGTAGCTTCCAATTAATGATAATCAGTTGCTTGTTTAATCTTTTCATCTTCAAGGAGAGAGCATGCATTGTTTCTCATAAGATCTACAACAGAGAAGTTACAATAAAAGTCACTGAAACCACTCTTATCCATTCTGGAGAAAGATTTTAAGTTGCAGTCTACTTATTCTGATTTTGTGAAATGGAGAAAACAAGTCAGTCTCCCTTCTTGAGTTTCTAAACCTGGTTAGTGAAAGGAGTCATTGGACTTGAATTGAAATAAAATCAGTTTTTGTCAAAAGCAAACTTTGAAAACCAGATGGGAAGGATAAAGTCAGTCTGCTGTGCTTCAGTTTGTACTCTGAACAGTAGTGYTAATGAAAAAGTACTACCCAGGCTTGAGCCTCACTGTAAATCTAACATACCACAATAAAAGTGAACACATTCAATCACCAACATTTTCTCAGAAAATATCTCTAAATAATTTCTGAACCCACATCTGCTAACCATTTGACCCTCCTTCCTCAGTTCTTTAATTCTTCTGGGGAAAGGTGGGGGGCGCTGCTGCCTTCCAGGGCACCCTTCTGACCATCTGCTGCAATTTGCATGCCAAGATGGCATTGGGTGCCTCCATTAACTGCACACTTATGTTCTGCGAACTTATCTCTGCTGAGGGACCAKCTTGAAGTCCAGATGGATTCTGACTTGGTCAACCTCTTCGAGCTGCTGATAGATTTACATGCCCCACGGTGCAATCTGTTGGGCTATTATTTTCTTTCATCCCTTCAGCAAACAAAAATTTGGAGGAAAAAAAATTGTAATTTGAGATTCAGTATTTGGCCTTCTCTTGAGCTGTCATTTTTTTTTCTATCCAAATGCGTCATATGTGCCATCCTCATGAATCTTTTGTAATGGATGGTTGTGCGAAGGCTGCATTCCTCTAAATTGCCAGCAACCGCTTGGAACAACCCTCTGAATCCCGACAATGGATTCATTTGCTGACCAAGGTAGGGCTCAAAGGGGCAAGATCGGGAATGGGGAAGAGGGTGGTGGGACGGTTTTTCTGCTCCGTAAGGCTTTAGGCAGGAGTTTCCGTCTACAGTCATTAACAAAAATTGGGAATTTGCGGAAAGTTAGAGCCAGACACGGTACAAATAACTTCACTTGTATTAGATCACTTGATCCTCACAACCTCCCTGCGGGTCAATGCAATTATTACCCGGGTGTTGCAGATGGAGGAGGCACAGCGGAGTCCTGTCATTTCTCAGATTCTCCCAGCCAGCAGGCTGCAGACCCGGGATTGCCATCCCACCAGCCTCCACTGACTGTGCGCTATAAGGATCCGCAGACAAGCAGAAAATTACAAGCGGCAGGGTAGGTTTACTGTGGCCAGGGTAACTCTTTCCCAAAGATCAAAGGCTCAGCCCCTTTACGTTGGAGGTGGGGTCAGGGACAGAGTGGGACAAGGTTCCAAGAGCCCTACTTATAGTGGAGAAAAAAAAAAAAAGTCGGATCGGGAGGCGTGCTTCCTTCCTGTCTCCGACCGGGGGGCTAGCTCCGCGGGCTCCTCGTCAGGCGCCAAGGGCGTGGGCATCCGTGGGGGCATTTCCGACCGCCCAGCGCACCGCTGAAAAGCGCAGCCTTTTCCATGAGGACCCCCCCACGCGCGCCTCAGGGCTGGTCCAAGAGCCTCAACACTCTCCCGGCACCGGCCACTACCAAAGCCAGACTTTCCTGGTCCAGTTAATTCTCATCGTTTAAAATATCTGAACAAAAAAGATTTGAAATTAAAGCACTTTGGGGGGTGAATATGAACACAGGCACATTTCCAAGTGCCATTAAAGCCTGCAGCGTCCCTTAAATAAAACTCTGGGGGAGTCTACGCTGATTTTGTAAGTGTAGGATTCAGGGCAGTAAGCACCAATTGCAGAAGGATTCCCGAAGTTAAAAAAAGTAGAAAAGGGGTCCTGCCGCCACTCCAGCGGAGCCAGAGGYTAGCGCCTGGGATTTAGAATGAGAAGAGAAGAACTACCCGGTCCGAGTCTTCCACCCGACCTTGGCAGGCCGCGCGCGGGCAGTCCTTCGGAGTCCACCCGGGCTCGCGTCCGCGGTCCCCAGGCGATGCGAGACTTAAGGTCATTACCCGAAATCCAAACCTCCCTTGCCAGGTTACGACCCTGCTCTTCTCTCTCTCTCTCTCTCTCTCTCTCTCTCTCTCTCTCACACACACACACACACACACACACTCCACTCCCAAGAAACTCCAGCTACTCCTTTGCAAACGTTCCAAAAGCACCGAAGGACAGACACGAACTTGCCAAGGCGCGGTGACAGCTGTTGAGTCCCGGGCAAAGGCACAAGTCTAGCTTACGTGTTAGGATCATGGTGTCCGGCTTCTCTCTGCACATCAAGGGCGGCACAGCGCGGCAGGCGCGCAGAGGGTAAATCGAGGCAGCACCAGGCAGGTCGGCTCCCGCACCGGGGCTGACGGCGGCACAGGGACACGTGCCCWGGCGGTACTCAGCGCATCCTTCTCTACGGGTCCTTGCCTCTCGCCAAGGCCCCAGGAAGAACGCGGGATTTTCTAGAGGTCGTAACGGGAGAGATCTCAAGGAGCCCAGCGAGAAGCCCGGGAGCAGTTGCTCCTGCTGCAGGGAAGCGCGGCCATGGCCAGTTATTCGAGAGAGGCGCCCTCGCATAGGCAGCTGGAGCGAATTGCCTACACTACGCCCCGCAAGCCTCGCCCTCCTGCTGGGCCCGCCTCGAAGGGAGGGACAAGACCTGGCAGCACCGCCTTCTCCCGGCCTGCGGGGGTCCGGAGCCGCAGCCTCCGGGGTTTTCTGGCCCCGCCCCACGCTCAGGCTCCACCCTACCCCGCGCCTCCTCCAGGCCACCAAGATCGCGGGTCTCAGGCCGTCCCGGTCACGCCCCTCTAGGTCCCGCCCTCACACCAGGTCCCGCCCCCCGCCTCCACCGCCCGGGACTGGAATGTTTTCTCTCAGCCTCCACGTCTGCCACGGGAAGCGCCTAAAAGTCGCCGGCTACTGGCCTCGGGGGCAGAGGCAAAGGCCAWGAGGCTTTTGCTTGGCGGAGACGTCCCGTCTGGACGCTGGGACGTCGTACCCTTTCCCTCTTTTTCTGGGTGGTTCTGCCTTTCATTCTGATGGGCATCACAGAAATTTGCGGTTATGGAGGGAAAATCGAAGTAGGGATGGACCAGTCTCCTGATTTGTAAAATAGGGGAAAAAAGAACCTGTCTTTGGGACATTTATTATTCTTTACTATATAAAGCCCTCAAAAGTACAGAGCGAATGCAGGTAATGAACGCTGCTGTAGATGGGTTGAGAGTCTTCTGTGTGCATAGCTATCGCCAGTGTTTTCCAAACTGTGGCCTTTGAACTGTAATCCAGCAGAGCGCCTGGAACTGTTATAGGTCCAACCCCAGATTGAAGATTTAGAATCTCTTGTGCTGAGGCTTTGCATTTATTTCAAGCCCTCAAGTGATTCTGAAGCATAGTAGTTTGAAGGCTCCTAATATAAGAAGCCTTATTTAAAAAAACACACACACACACACACACAATGGATAAAATCACAGAAATTTTTTAAAAAAAATCTAGGCAAGAAGCTTTTGTGAAATTTTACTTTGGGATAAATTGATGCTTTCTGCCTGTTATTTCTGGACAAGGAAAACTACTGACCTAAACTCATTCATTTGATAGATATTTAAGAGCATTTACTATGTGCCAAATACTTTTTTTACGCTGGGGGTGGGGATATACCAGTGAACAAAAGAGATTAACATCCCTTCCCCCCCCCACCACCACCAGTTTGCTTCCTAATGGGGAAGATATACAATGACCGACCAAAACAAGTAAGTGAAAAATATATAGTGTGTTAGRTGAGACTAATATAAAGTAGACGAGGGAATATAGGAGTTTTGGGATAGCTTGTTTTTAAATAGGGCTAAATACAAATGGAAGAATTGTCTTTCAATTAAAAATGTATTGATTTTATAGCCATGTCATGATTTATAAACACAAGACTCTCCCCACTCCCATATTTTCAGTGAACAAAAATAAAAATGAGAACTCCACCTATTTAGCAAATTTAATTAATTTKCCCAAACTAGAATTTAGTTTCTGAGAGGATGGGTCTTATCTATTCAGAAAATACTGTTGTTTCCCAGCTATTACCTACTTGTAGATGCTGGAACACAAAGGTAATCCAGGGCATGTCTGTCAGCCTTCTGTCCTTATGATGGGGCAAACAAGCTTACTGTATGAAAAAGAGGTGCTGTGAGGGTTCAGGAAGTGAAGATCTGACCTGCCCCCCCCCAAAAAAAAAAAAACAAAAACTGAGCAGCCCTCTGAGGTGTGGGCACTGGAGAAGCTATCAAAACATCAGCCTACAGTTGGCAGCAAGCGGAAGCATGATTCAAGAGCAGGCTGGGGAAATAAAGGCAAACTTATTCAATTCCCTGAATGACTATGTTAAGGATTTTAAAAATTCTTAATAGTGAGAATCCATTTTAATGCAAGAGAGGATCCCATCATCAGCTTTGCATTTTGAAAAGATCACTCAAGTTGCAGTATAAATTTCAAACTTCAGCACTTCCAGGGGCTACAGATGTGGCACAGGGGTAGAGCATTTGCCTGGCATATGTGAGGCCCTGTGTTTGATCCCCACATGAAAATGCACGTATGCTACACACACACACACACACACACACACACACACACACATACACATCCATCTCTAAAACATGCTAATTTATTAAAAATTCGAACCTTAAAAATATAGGTATTTTTAAAGCATCTCAAAGTATATCAATTCTTAGGACTAATTCTTAATGTTTTCTTTTTACATGAACTTTATTGGGTGAAGCTGTATTTTTATTGCTTTCCAGGAGTCTGCATCCCTAATACACTCCTCCCCACTCAGTATTCATCTTTATAGAATAAACCATGTTGACCTTTTTGGTCTCTCTTGTTCAAATCCCATTCCTTTCTCCTTGATTATTGTGCTTTCTCCGAATCTTCCTAATTTTATTACACATCTCTGGAAGTTTGCCTTGTGTGGTTTGCTTATCATCTATGATACTAATAACTCCCAAAACATTTTTCTTGGGTGATGCATTGGTCTGCATCTGGCCTTCACTGAATCTTGTCTTCTTTTATTCTTCAATTATGACATGACCTGTGACCAGAGCCAAATCCCAATTTTCATAGTTTTAATTTTTCCTCCCATTGTATATAAACGGACATGCTTGAAGGCTACCACGCTTGTAGAATAGTGGTTTAAAGTTGGACTTTTGGAGCAGGCCACTTAACTTTGTGATGAACAGGTTATTTAGGCTCTGAAAACTTCAGTTTCTTCCTCTTTAAAAAGAGGATGTATCTCATGAGGTTTTTATGAGGATTAGATAAGATAAAGTACATAAGTACTTAGCATGCAATTAGCATTTGATGTTAGCTGTTATTACTATACAAGGTTGTCTCTTGGCATTCTTAGGTTGGTTCCAGGACTCCCTTCCACACCCGCCTTGGACACCCAATACCCTTGTATAAAATGACACAGTGGTATTTTATTCACACCTTCCTGTAGCCTTTAAGTCATCTCTGGATTGCTTATATACCTCAAGGTAAATGGCATGTATATCAGTTTTATTCTGGATTGTTTAGGAAATAATGACAGAATAAAGTCTGTGCATGTTCAGTACGGATGCGATTTTTTTTTTCCAGATATTTTCAACCAGTGGTTGGTTTATCTGTGGGCTCAGAAGCTGCCCATAGAGAKGACTGACTGTCCTATTAAATATCAAAATAAGAGATGAAATTGCTATTTAAATCATATCCGGGAGAAAATTAAAACAATATAGAATAAGACCTTGACTTTAACCTTTGTGAATCTAAGGAGCCTTCACAAACTGGGGAAGAAGGAGTGGAAAAGTCATTAAGAACGGGGACAAACAGTGGTATTTGCCAGATGGAAGAGGGTTCCCAGGGCAGCTCAGGGTCCTTCCTCTTTATTCAACCTTCAACTAAATCGTCACCTAAGGTTTCATTTGTCATAAACTGCTGACATTAGACTGAGTGTCCTTGATCTTCATTAACTGAGATTTTGGTAACAGTGGACTCTTAAGAGGCAGAAGTTACCTCCTCAGTGTTGCCCATTTCTCTACTTGCAGTCAAGGTCATAAAAAAGCTCTTCAATTCATAAGAATAAAAATTCATCACCAGTTACACAAGGTTTTGTGATCATTGTTGCCATTGATTGTTATTAACGGAGGATTTTTTTTTTTTTTTTTAAAGATGACATAAGGACTTGTACTGTTTGCTTCCTCAGTTTGGACATCCACTGTTTGGAGGTTATTCACAGGGGATCCCTGACCTCTCTATTTGGATTTTTTTTTTCACATTCAACTGTAGTATTACCAAAGAAAGAAAAATCACATAGCTAACTCCTAAACTGTGTGGCAGAGGCTTGAGTGACGAAGAGGGTGACTCTTTACTCTTTTTGGTTCATATTCTATTTTAATGATTGAAATGAGATATTATTGATATTGTTCAAAGTCACCCTCTTGCATTTTTTCATACCATAATGTGTTAATAAACAAAACAAAACTTCAGGTGTCTGCAGGCATCCAGGCATGTGATGCTGTAAGTAAAGCAAGCTACATGGAATGGTGAGAGCAGGAGAGTCCAGAACCCTCTTTGAAGACAGCTGCCAGTCAGGCCCTTGTTGGCATGTGTAACACAGCAACTCCAATGTACTGGGTTTAATGATTTTCCAACAGCACCTATATTTCCTCCCATCCCCTTTTTCTTCCTTCCTTCTTCCCTCCCCCTCCCCCTCCCATCCCCCCTCCCCTCCTTTTCCCCCTCCCCCCCTTCTCTTCCTCCTCTGGTGGGTGGTGACAGTGTTAGGGAGTGAACCTAGGGCTTTTCACCTGCCAGTCAAGTACTCTACCGCTGACCTATATTACCTCTATCTATATTTTTATATCAAAGCTCCCAAGTTTTAGATGCGGGCAAGTAGTTTAAAAAATCAAAACCCATTCCAAGWAATTTCAACTGTGGGCTTCATTTATCCCTCGGGCAACAAGTTTAAACCTCTGCTCTAGTGATATGAGCCAAGCCATCTCTTTGGAAATTTCTTTCTCTCCCCTAGGAACTAAAAGACTCCTCTGCACTTGGAAAATGTTGTAATATAATTTGTGTTCAATGGAACATTATGAAATTACTGAGGAAAATAATTTTGATTTGTAATGCTCAAAGGAAATACAAGAAAGAAAAGCATTTTGGAAATAATGGTAAACAGTATTCAATTAAGGAAAATAATTAAATTTGAAATTGAATGGCTGTCCTCAAAGCATTCATTTACTTTTAAGCTTCAGTGACCTMAGTCTGGGTTCTTCCCATTCCTTACCTTAACTAAAAAGGCTAAAAGGTATTTAGCTTTTTCAGAATTTTTCAAAATTCTATTACTAGGGGTACAGGATGGAGAAAGAAGAAAGGAACACAGAGCTTAGGCTGCAAAATAAACTTATCCTTTTTAAATTTTAGCTCTTTCGTTCAGTTAGATCTTTCATTGACTATCACCTTGGAACATTCAAGTTCAAAATATGTTGAAAGTAGTTAGTCTCCCTGAGATTTTTTTTTTTTTTTTGTACTGGGGATTGAACCTAGGGCCTTGGGCATGCTAGGTAAGTGTTC